AGGAAATCCAACTAAAAACTGGTGCGCGTGTCTCTCCGATCTCCCCACTGTCCTGCCGCAGCTCCTCCGCCTGGGCGAGAGGCTCACGCGTGCACAGGCTGAGCAGGTGAGCGCGCCGCCTCGTGTCACACCGGCCCGGGCACCCTCCTCCGCCAGACCGCGCGGTCCATCGAGCCTCGGCCGGGATGCGCGAGTGAAAGTTTAGCAGGGCTGAGCGGGGCTGGCGGGCAGCTCTGTTTTACACCCACCTCGGCCCCGCGCCTCCTTGCTGCCCGGCCCGCCCTCCCATTGGCCCGGCCCAGCAAGCCCCTGCCCTCCCATTGGCTGGCGCGTTAACAATGACTGGCGAAACCGAACCGAGCTTAGGGAGCGTTCCAAAGTGACATCATTTTTAAGAAAGCGCACAATAGGTCAAATTCATTAAGCGTCGGGATATCCTAGCCTTGGACAAGAAGCAATATATATGTTATGATCGCTGTTTTATTAGAGACATCAATTACCCTTAGTGAAAACCACACCCCCCTTCCCCTGATACTGGGACTAATATACCAATGCTATCACTGGCACCTATAATTAAATTATTAACAACATTCTTGTACTGATACCTACAATAATAATAATAATAATAATAATAATAATAATACGTTTAGGGAGGAATGTATAAATGTATTAATGTATTTTATTGTTGCGCTAAATTGTTTTTTAAAACAGCTCAATAAACGACAAAAAAACGAACAGGCATCAAGAAAAATAGAGGCTGTTTCTGTAGGTCTGGACAGTGTTTTTATTACGTGTGTGTGGTCTTATCTCCTGTGAGAAGAAATGCTGGTGAACGGAGGAACAACGAAATAACGGGATCAGAGTCAGTTATTCCGGGGGAGACGTATTTCGGCTTCGTAATCTTTTATCAATTCATATTGGGCTTAGCGCAATTTATTTTCACTGTCAGCATTAATGTAACAAACCAAAACTCTTACATAGACGCGTAAAATATGGACCTCCCTACAATGCATTTAAAGAGTCTTTCATACATTGCTATGAATAATAGAATAATAATACGGATCTCAGTACTAAAAATAATAACACTACAGTAATAGTAATAGTTTGTCATAATAAGCCAGCTTTTTATAATATTAACAATTAAAACAAAAAACGGTTGTATTAGGAATAAACGAATAAAACGACAAGAACAGTAGCGTCAGGCTTTCGATGATTTCGTGTGCTGTATAATAACACCAGTAATAATAATTAACGAACAAACAACAAATACAATTAAAATTATACTGACTACTTATTCTACTGCTATTACAGTCCCTATTGTTACTACTAGTACTGCTACTACAGTTCCTACTCTTACTACAAGTACTGCTAGTACAGTTGCTA